CTCAAGTAGAAAACAGTAACAACACGACAGGACATGTTTCCTCAAACAGAGAGAGAGAGAGAACAGGACAGGGAGAAGAAGGCGAGTGCATACCCTCCCGCTTCGTGTCCTAAGATCCTCGGGAACACCGGAGTTTGCCCCTGCACAAAACAAGATTCAGCCAGAAAATCACACAAAGTTAGACAAATGCATGGAGATCAAGAAGCAGCAGCGAGGAGATATATATATACACACACAGCATATACTACCTTGGCCTCCCAGAAGTAGACGTCGGTGTGGCAGAGCGCGGTGTAGAGGATCTTGACACGCACCTCCATGGCCTGTGGCGGCGCCACCTCCACCTCCTCGATGGACAGCGGCTTGCCGGCCTCCCACGCCACGGCGGCTGCAGGGAATCCAAGAACCAAATCGATCCGATGATTAGGCTTCTAGCTAGTAGCCATCACGAAAGGCAGAGGTAGAAGACGTACCTTTGCACTTGATCACCTTCCCTGCGGTCGCCATTGCTTGCTGTCCCTCTTTCTGTCTCTCTCCCGAAGCTCGATGGACCACTCGAAGAACACGAGAATCGAATCCTTTTGCTACTGCTTCTTCGCACCCTTTACACTTGGTTGATGATCAGAAATTGGCGAGGAAGAAAGCGGGGACGAGTACTGTATATATAGTGGTCTAGGACTAGAGGGAGGCAGCGAGAGCGCCTGGACTGTAGCGGCGCAAGTTGGGGAAGAAAGGCTCGGATTTTTTAGTCGCGGGAGAAACCGGGGAGGTGTCCGCCGCCGCTTTCCCCTTTCCCGGCCTCCGCGAGACAGCCTTGGCCCCGCCAGGTTTCTGCCTCCGGCGGTTTTGTTTGTTTACGGTTTTCCATGTCCTCCGGTAGACATGACAGTAGTTAGTACTACTTTTCCTCAATTCCAAATTATAAGCTCGTCTCAGGAAAAAATTCTAAATGATAAGAAATATTGATTTTTCTAGATAAATTGTTTCTATTACATGTATCCATATATAATGTATATCTTAGTGTATAAGATAAATTGTTTCTATTACATGTATCCATATATAATGTATATCTTAGTGTATAACAAATTTTATATATTAAAAAACTCAAAAACGTCATTATAATTTATAATGAAGGAGGTACCATTTTGTAAACAGGAGGCTACAATACATAGCTGCATTCTTCTCCGAAAGCTATAACAAACAATAGCAAGCTATAAGCGTACAACGAAGGCTATTTAATTTACCGGTATTTGTAAAAAAAAATTGAAAATTATTAATTAATTATGCACAAAAACATTTAATTAAAGAAAAATTTTATGAATATACAAAGTACTCAAATACATATACCACTTCTAGGAAAACATGTATCCACACCAATGACTTACTTAACATTCACTAAATTAGTCAAGATACTAATAACTACGATCAACACTGATGTTCATTCAACACTCAATATTCAACGATTTAATAATTATTGAATGGTTTATTAAGTAAAGAACATCATGGATATACATAGATTATACTGGAGTATGGAATGAATATTTCCATTGGTCACGATTATTGGCTCCAAAATATTTCATGGCTAAGCAGGATTTTAGGGTTTTTTTTGGATCCACTAGCTAAAGTTTAGCCCGGGTCACATCGGAAGTTTGATATCAATTAGAACTAAACATGAGCTAATTATAAAACTAATTGCATAAGACGTGACTAATTCGCGAGGCAAATTTAGTAAGCCTAATTAATTCATGATTAGTATATGTTTACTGTAGCACCACGTTCGCTAATCATGGCTTACTTAGGCTTAATGGATTCATCTCACGATTAGCTTTTATTTATGCAATTAGTTTTCTAATTATTGTATGTATTAGTATCCAAACTTTATATGTGACAGGGACTAAAATTTAGTCCTGGGGTCCAAACACCCCCTTAATCTGATCAATAAAATAGTCTATCCATTCGCTTTATTTTTTTTTCTAAGTGAAACTTCTCTAAATTTACTAAAAAATATTAAAAATACTAACATCTAAAGATTTAAAGAAACACATTTTGCAAATATACTTGCATTATAATTTTGGTCCAAATTAAACAAGTTTAGCTTAAAATAAAATCAAAGTGAAGTATATTTTAGAAGAAATCTAGGTGTAGTCGAATGATTTTTCATGCATCATCTGTCGGACAATAAAAAAGATTGAGACAGAGGATATTCCTGCTCCTGCATCATGATTCGGTATATCATGATGTTGCGCCAGCGAGGAATGGTGAATTTGTGGATCGGTGCTGACAGTAATCCGGGGGGAGGCGAGCAAGAGCATCATCACTCGAATTCCGAACGATGCACAGGAATTTCCCCCGTCAAGCTTGTCTACGTCGCGTGACGCGCGACCTTGAAACCTCGATGGCCGTGCCGCTAAAGATTCTATTCTACTAGGCGATGCTAATGCTATTTACAAAATGTGTAATTGGTTACTATTTACAACAATTGGTTACAATTTTACTAACATTAATCCATTTTGTCACTTCTTTTATTTATACTGGATGTATTTGAAACTTATGTATCAATTGCTTTTCGAAAATATGATTATTTTTAGGTTTGTTTAAAGTTAAACTGTGTAACACTAAAGAAGTTGTGATTTTTTTTTCATAAAATATTTTTTCACAACATACTTATTTCGTTCGAGGCAGTTAAATTTCCCTATTTTCTTGGTAGGATCAGATTTTAATCACGGGTGAAATCGGAGGCTCAGATTTTAATTTGACCAATAAATTAAAATACTCCATCAGTTTAATTAAACTTCTTTTTTCTAATTCAACCTTCTCTAAATTCAATAAAAATATTAAAAATACTAACAACTATAAATTTGAAGAAACACATTTTGCAGATATACTTTTGTTATAGTTTTTTTTAAATGAATCAGGCAGAATAGCTATCGATTATTATATTATAAAGAAGGAGTACCACAAAGATAAATTGGGTCAAAATGACCAACAACGACAACGACAACAGCAAACAACAACTTAAAACTTTATAGAGCATGGCCGGTTGAAATGGAATCTCAACACGTGATGCATATTTCTATTAGATACACCAGTGGCCCTCAAACTTGTAATGGTGTGTCACGTAAGTCTAAGAACTTTGAAAATGCATTTCTAGGTCTCTAAACTTGTTAAGTGATGCACCACAGGTCCATGTTAGCCATGTGGGCATTTTTTGATGATGTAGCATGCCAGTGTGGCATATATATATATATTTATTTATGACCCTCATGTTTATTTTCCCTGTGAAAATAGACCCTCCCTTCTTTCTCTATTTCCTGCTCCTTTCACTGCTGCTGCAAAAGGTGGCGTGGCTCCTGGAGTTGCATCATAGCCGCCTATGGTCTATATCTAAGGGTAAAATAATTTTGAAGGGTTAAATGTAAAAATAAATGCCACGCTAGCATGCCACGTAAACAAGAAATGCTCATGTACCTGAGATGGATATGCGGTGCACCACTTAACAAGTTTAATGACTCAAAAATACGTTTTTAAAGTTCGTGGACCTACATGACACATCTTTATGAGTTCGAGGGCCGCTGATGCATTTAATATTTTTGGTTAAAAATTATATAAGTTTGGCCCAGAATAAAATCAAACTGAAGTATAATAATTTAGATAAAAAAATCTAGGTGTAGTCGAAGGATTTTTCATCCATCTTCTGTCGGATGATAAAAAAGATTGAGACAGAGGATATTCGTTTGTTAAGATTCGGTATATGTTGTGCCAGGGAAGGAATGGTGAGTTTGTGGATCGGTGTTGGTGCTGACAGTAATCCGGGGGAGGCGATGCACAGAAATCTGTCCCGTCGGCCCCTCTACGTCGCGTGACGCGCGACCTTGAAACCTCGACTGCCATGCCGCTAAAGGTTCTACTACTCTACTAGGCGTCGTCGTCTTTGGCCGCGGAGGCCACAGGCCGGCACCGGACCGGCCGGGATCGCGGCGGGTCAACGCCCATGACGATGACGCGGCCGGATTCCGGGTTTGACTTCCCTCATCCCAGCTGCTGGCGCGTCCAAATCCAAATTCCAAAACCGGGGCTGTATTACGTGTTCTCCTCGAGCCTGCCTGCCTGCCTGACCATGGGTTGGATTGGATCTTGTTGTAATTTGTTTATGGGTTCATTCGTTGCCATGCATGATGCATCTTTGCTTAGTCAGCGCAGCCCCGATGCGGGCGACGCGTGGTGGTGGTAGCTGTCCGGTCCGGCTCCACGCGCGCGCCGGCGCGGCGGGTTTGCCTCCCTCTGCCGGGTGCCGGTGGCTTACATACGGTTTTGTTCCTGCGCCCGTGGTAACAGTAGTGTACCCGCTCCGCTTTTGCTTCCACACTAAACTTAGTCTGTTTGGTTGGCTGTTTTGTTTTGTTGCTGGTTCGTAAAGAAGTACTGCTAGCTAGTTTGTGTGAGAGAAAAATACTATTTTACCTGAAAATTTACGATCGTATACACGACAAACACGGCCAAACGAACAGTCTATCACTATATTACTGTGGATTACGCGTAACTTGTTTTCACACCCAAGAGAACACCTAGAGCTAGCTGCACGTACCTGCATGTCTGACTTTGGTTTTGTTTCTTTATTTGGTTATGAGCTAGCTGCACGTACATGCATGTCTGACTTTGATTTTGTTTCGTTATTTGGTTATATCGTTTACTGTGTGTCAGCGTGTACCGTCTGTTTGCCGCTGGTTTTTATCATAAACTGTTTGACACAGTTCACAACGGCTGTTATGAGCTGTATTTTTTGTCAAACACATTTTTCTTAAATAGTTTCATATTTGAAGCTGTTTTGTTCCTCCTTTTACGATGAAACGAGCTAGGACTTCCGGATCTCTCCTCAGGTTGCAACGCACTGCCTTGTGGTCGAGAGAAATTACACGAATTGCCCCCGACGCCACCGGTTCGTACTTCTCCCGTAACCCGTTCCTGCGTCTCTCTCCCTCCCTCTGCCAGCGCCGCCGCCGCCCATGGGTGAGCCCTCGCCGGAACGCGAGGCCCGAAGGGAAGCAGATAGATCGGGAATCCTTGAAGACGATCCAATCGGTTCGTGGACGGGGTCCTTATCTGCTGTTCTCGCACGAGCAGGAGGTGGTCCACCGGCAGGAGCTTCTTGGCCCGGCGTGGGTCATGGCGTCCCCCCGGCCGGTGGATCTTGGCCAGGCGCAGCAGCTCGCCCGCCCCCGGATGGCGGCTGCTGGCCCGGCGCGGCCGCATCCGCGCCCCCGGCCGGCGTTGGCTGGTCCGGCGTTGGATGGCCCAGCTCGTCCTCTGGCGCGCCCCCATCCTCTGGCGCCGGCTGGCCAGGCTCATCCTCTGGCGTGCCCCTGGTCGGAGTTGGCTGGCCCAGCTCGTCCTCTGGCGCGCCCCTGTCTGCTGGCACGTCGTCTGCGGGCGACAGCCTTGGTTGGCAGCAATGGAATGCTACAACGACTGCTCTTTTCGGTCCTGATTGGAGGGAGACAAGGACGCCTGAACGAGTCGAAGATGACTGCGTCGAAATAGTGGGCTCTGGTGCTCCTAGCCGTGGTGGCCGAGGTGGTCGAGGTGGACGCTCACAAAAGCCTCCTGCTGTTCCTGCTGCCCCCCACCCGACACTGTCGATCTCACCGACTCAAGGTAATCGATGTTTTCTGAATTTTACACCATTTCTGGACTAAGGCTACTGAGAAACGCTGTGGAACGTTTGTTATTTTTTTGATAAGTTCTATTGTGTAGGATTGTGTAGTTCATGATGGTGATTTGAGCTTAGATGCCATGTTATGCTTTGTGGTAGACTCTCGGTTGCTAATGTTATGATCTTGATCAGATAATGTATAGTGATCATGGTCCAAGGTATTTTATTTGCCAAATTACCAGTAGTAGTTGCTAATTTTTGTTCTGAATTTTACAGTTTTGTTCGCAACAGCGAGGCCGATTGGTGGGATGAAAATACTAGGATAGTTTGTGAGATTTTTGCTGATGAAGTACAAAAGGGAAATCGGGCAAACACTCACTTGAATAAGGCTGGGTACAAGAATGTCATTCAGAGGTACACTAGTAATGTTGGAACATCTGTAATGTTGAATATTTCCTGTTTGGACCATTTATGCTTTTAATTTATTTGGAACATCTGTAATGTTGAATACTTCCTATTTGGACCAATTTATGCTTTTAATTTATTTGGTGCACTAGTAATGTTGAATACTTCCTATTTGGACCAATTTATGCTTTTATTTGGTTTATTCATGGTGGTTGTTTTTTTTTTGTGTACAGATCACAGTCTGGTACTGAGACGGATGATACGGATGATAGTGATTCGGATGAATGGATTTCAAATACTATGCAATTGTTGCGGTCTAACCAAAACAATTTGGTTGCCTGTGCAATTCTAGCAGTCCAGTACTACATGACGTATCTTGATAAGAATGAGGCGAGAGCTCCAGCATAGTCGGGTTATGGTTGGACATTGGAGATGCTAAACACCCTAGGTGAATCTCATAAAATGTTCAGAATGAATGCATCATTGTTTGATAAGCTACATAACCTATTACTCAGTACATATGGTCTCGAGTCATCACTTCACATGAATTCTATGGAGTCACTAGCCATGTTTCTACTAGTTTGTGGGCATGGCGCGTCCATAAGTGCTTTGCATGGTATATTCAAGCACTCACAGAGACAATCAGTCGAAAATTTGATGAGGTCTTGATGTGTTTGGTCTCCATGTGTAAGGACTACATAAGGCCTATTGATCCAAACTTCTCTACAACACATTCTAGGCTTACTGATGATAGGAGGATGATGCCTTATTTTAAAGATTGCATTGGAGCACTAGATGGTACTCATATCTCAGCAACCCCACCTCCGAATGACCAAATTGGATACATCGGTCGAAGTGGCAAATCGACACAAAATGTTCTTGCTATTGTTGATTTCGACATGCGATTCACATATGCATCTATTGGGCAGCCTGGTTCTATGCATGACACAAGTGTGCTCTTTCATGCAATTGGACATGATCATGACAAGTTCCCACACACCCCTCAAGGTATGTATATATGTATAGATTACATTAACATGTTCATAAGTATGTGGTTGGAATTTGTGTACATGAATCTCAGTTACCCTTTTCTTATACTCAGGCAAATATTACGCTGTTGATGCCGGGTACCCAAATAGACCTGGATATTTGGCACCATACAAGGGTGAAAGGTCCAAACACCATTGTCACATCGCTATACGAGACAAGGTCCCATGAGCGACCCCAGCCATTGCCCATGCAAGGAACGCCGATAGACATCAACAAATGCAGTAGAAGTACGACTATGGGGGTGCATGCCCGGCCCAAAACTTGAGGACAAGTTATTCCTTCAATGTCCTAGCTAGAAATCCCAAAACTATGGAGTCTTTATATCATAAATTATTCATTTCAAAAGGATGTAAGGTTTTAGATTTTGCAAACGGCGATAAGAAAAGTACTATTTTGACACTATTTCCTGGAAAAAATTAAGAACTTGCGAACACAAGGTTGATATGTGCCCTTGTATGTCGAGTTATGATGAGTGATTGTTAAGAGATGGTTGACTTTGGTTGAGTTTGGAGACTAACCATGGTGTGAGTGTGTGTGCAACATGTGTCTTGGCTATGTTGGTGTCCAGGTGTGGAGCACAGAGACAGTCGATGACCATTGAGAAGGTCAAGTAGAGATGGGTCATGTCGATGGACTAGGAGCGGTGAAGGACGGACGTGAGGCTTGGACTGAGGGACCAAGGTGGCCAGTAGACTGACCGTGGGTGACTGACACTTGGGGACATCGACAAGCAAGACTACATGAGGAGGAGTAGACCCTGTTGACCAAGTCAAGATGACGGTTGACCAAGTCAAGCGGTGACGTTGGGGGACTTGGTGATCGGGTAGTTGAGGACAACGGTGACACGTGTCAAAGATCATGGAAGAGGCGTAGCGGATATGCTTCTTCAGAGGGGTTTGATGGTTTGGGCCTCAAAACCAGCGGCAGATGGTTTTCAGGTTTGGGCCTCAAAAACCCGGTTTGAGTTGAGGCAGGAACGGGAGGCGGCACGTGGTGTCATCGCGATGCTTGCGTCGAGACGAAGCAATGTCGTAAAGAGCCGTAGCCGTCAGATGCTTGGATCTCAAGTTGGACCCCTGCGGTTAAGTGGTTGAGTATCTAACGGCATGTTAAGGGTTGTGTAATAGCTCTATAAATAAGAGGCTCGATGCTCCTCAGCCTATCTCTCCAACTTTAGGTTTCCTAGTCTCTAGTTTTTAGTTTCCAGTCCAGATTCTTGAGAGAGATCCGTAGATGAGAGTCTGAGTCATGTGTCTGTGTAACTTGGCAAAGGTCCTGACCTTGTTCAAGAGAGAAATAAAACAATATTTCCTCTTAATTTCTTGGGCAAGTTCTTGTGTTCGAATCGATTTGGTTTTTCCTCTTCCCTTCTCCATTTCTTTGGGTTTTTAAGTTCCTGCTGATTTGAGGATGTGTTTGAGAGGATGGATTTGTGCCAGAAACTCTGAGGAACATCTATGTCATGTGGTTTGGGCAGATTCCTCACGAGCACATAGATCCACCGTTCGGAGGAAAAATTTAGAAAACCCTCTTCTCTTAATGGATTTCATAGATTAGAGTTTATTTTGATTTTTTCGTGTGTTGATCTTTGGGGGTTTTCTTCTAAACACCCTTGGTATCCTCTTAGCAAAGTTTGAGATTTTTCGGAGCTTGTTCAAATTTTTCTCGGAGAGAATTATGTTGAAATCTGAAGATAAAAAAACATCCTAAACGAGTTTGGGAAACTGGGCTAAGCTGTTTTTTCAACTTGGTCCCATTGAGCTCATTTTCGGTTGAGATCCTTTCTTTGGTGTTACAAACTTCTCCACCAAGTTTCAAGTCTTTTCAAAATCGTTTGATAGGATTTTGAGTTTTTCTCTTCCGTGGGCTGAAATCTGGAAATCAGCTAGAGCTGATTTTGGAAACTGGCCTAGGCCAGTTTTTCAGCCTTATCCATTGGAGCTGATTTTTGGTGGAGATGTTTGTCACAATGTTTTAAGTATGTCCAAAAAATTCATAATTTTTGAAGTCGTTCGGTCAATGTGTCGTGTTCATAAACCCGGGGTCCCTAATGGATCCGCTTCCCAGCAAAAGTTCAGCCCAACAGACGGCATTACAGACGACACGCAACTCCTGGGCCGACCCAGATACCTAACGACAGGCCGGAAGAGTGATCCAGTCTCCAACCGGAAAGCCTCCGACCCGCTTCTCCGACCGGAAGGCCTGACCAAGGAGGGGAAGATGCTCGCTTCCGACTCCAACCCCCTTCTCCGACCGGAAGGCCCGACCAAGGAGGAGACGACGCTCGCTTCCGACTCCGACCCGCTTCTTCGACCGAAAGTACACTGAACCTCTGCTTACAGCTCTTTCTCCGACCGACGCGGTCGGAGCCGACTGGGAACGACCGAACGGGGACGCCTGCTCGGTAAGGACCCAAGAATCAGGTGGAGCAGATAAAGGCAAGGGGCTCAAGTCAACCGCAATACCGAGGACTGTACCCTGCACACCTGTAGGACAGTACTGTCAGGCCATGTTAGAAGGGTGCTTTTGCAACCTTCCAGGCATGTCAGAACACGAACAGTGTTGTAGGCGTTGACATTTGTCCTACAGTATGGTAGGCGTCGATATTTGCCATACAAGAAGAACACGATAGAGCCTGCCATATGCATCTGGACATCAACAGTATTGTGGGCGCCGACAAGCCATCTTGCACCCGACGGCGTGGGCAACAAGACTATGTAACACACTCACTCTCTTTCTCTCACTCGTAAGGCTGTCCCCTTCATCTATAAAAAGGGATGCGCCCTCTCCCAACAGAGACAACGAAAAAACAGACGACAGACGGATCATTCCGACTCACTCTCTGCTAGCTTTAGACATTCTAAAGCTACACATTGCATATGTCCAATATTTAGCGCACGTAGGAGCTCCTGTCACTCTCAGCCCTTCGATCCAGAGTCCGACCGGACCTCTAACGCCCCCATCTTACTCCCACTCATTTATAACCCCACAGCAAACTTCGAGTACCTGGGCTCAGGAATAAAGTCACCGACTGACTCAAACTGGACGTAGCGCACGTTGCCTGAACCAGTATAAACTATGTGTCATTGAGTGTTAGGCCACATCCAATCATAACATATGGCAAAACGATAAATATTTACTTGCTGGTCACTTTTCGCACCGATACAATGTTTGTGTTCTGAGCGTTTGGTTGGGCGGTGTTGGGACAACGGCCGAAATAAAAAAAAAAATTAGATTAGGCTTCCATTCACCTATCCACTGATCGTCTTCCTCGGTCCTTCAGAGCTACACGTACATAAACCATTTGCAACCGTATGTATTAGCATCAGATGACACTAGTAGCTCCAATTTCAAGAATGGTTTATCACGGAGCGGCATGGCTAGCACAAGCTAGGAACTTAAAAGCACTACTCGTTTGCAGCAGAAGTGATAGGCTGAACGCATAGACTGTTCGCTTGTTGATTTTAACTAAGACTTATCAGTTAGCTAATAATATTTTTTTTTTCTCATAGCAAATCAGCATCAGCTGGACTTATCAGCCCAGAAACCAACCAGCGAATAGGCGCAAGTTGTTCATATCCTGTGCAACCTTGGCTAAAAGAAAGCGATATCCTGATGGACAACGAAGTGAGCAAGAAAATGGTGAAGATTGTCGGCTCTGATGCTTATATGGCAGATGCATGCACCCAACTAATCAGACCCTAAATTCTGCAGTGGGGTCGCTGTTTAGCAGCGCACTGGAATGCGTCAAGCATGTGCACGGGATAGGATTCGTTCTCCTCTCTCTGATTAGGGCATTCTTCTTTTGGTCAGGATATTTTGGGGGTGTTTGTTCCATATATTAAACTTTAGTCCTTGTCACATCAGATGTTTGACACTAATTTAGAGTATTAAATATAGATTAATTATAAAACCAATGGCATAGATTGAGACTAATTTACGAGACTAATCTATTAAGTCTAATTAGTCCATGATTTGACAACGTGGTGCTACAATAAATATGTGCTAATAATGGATTAATTAGGCTTAATAGATTCATCTCGCGAATTAGCCACGGCTTGTGCAATTAGTTTTATAATTAGCTTATATTTAGTCCTTCTAATTAACATCCGAACATCCAATGAGATAAGGACTTTAATCTCGGAATCCAAACACCCTCTTTGTCTTCACAATCCAGGCTCCCTAGGCTCATAGTAATTTACGTCCCATCATGAAGTGGTTCGTGTCGTTTTCCCGTTCGGCTTACCCTATATCCGGCTTGTTTGGCTTCTTTTTTCAGCTGAAACAGTGTTTTTCTCTCACAACATTTCAGCCGAAACAGTGTTTTTCAGCCAGTTTCAGCCAAGATTCAGCAAGCC